TCACTCGTCGTTCTATATCCTTATCATATCTCCCATCCCTGCTAAATACGCAACCCAAATATACAAACTCATCTACTTGCTCGATCAACTCCCCTTCTATTCTTATTTCACATATCGTTTTACTTTCATCTCTTTCAAAAACCATAATTTTCGTCTTACTTGCGTTCACTTTCATACCACTTTCTTTTAATGATCTGTTCATTAATGTAACCATCATTTGCAACTCAGCCGCCGACGACGCAAGAATAACTTGATCATCGGCGTACAAAAGGCATTTGATGGTTAACTCACCCATTCTTAATCCGCATTCTTCAACTTTCAAATTTTGCAAACAACTGTCCATAAATAGGTTGAACAACCACGGGGAAGCCACACAGCCCTGTCTGACACCTTTATGGATGCCAAACCAGTCGAGTAGACCCCGTTGATCCTAACACAAGCACTAGAGTCCCTATAAAGAGATTCCAATGCCTGTATCAAGCCAGCGCTCAACCCAAATGAGTTCAGTGTTTGCCATAGCACCTTTCTATCCACTCTGTCATAGGCCTTCTCCAAGTCCATGAACGCACAAAAAACCTTTTGGTTTTTGGCCAAAAACTTCTCCCCCGATCATGCGCATGGAGAAGACTTGATCTGTACATCCCATTCCCTTTCTAAATCCCGCTTGCACATCCCAAATTTTTCCATCGGTTTCTTTCATGACCCTTTCAATTAGTACCTTGGCATACAATTTTCCCACGATGCTAAGAAGGCTGATACCACGGTAGTTTTTACAGTCCTGCTGCGACCCTTTTCCCTTATATACTGGGACTATCACGGCTTTGCACCAGTCTCCCGGTACCCGCTTTAGTTCCCAGCATACATTAAACAAGGTGTGCAGCAGGCCTGCCACCACTTCCTCTCCAGCCCTTAGCATTTCGAGTGAAACTCTATCATAACCGGCAGCCTTACCTGCTTTCATGCTTTTCATTGCTTTCATTATTTCATCTTTACTTATCTCGCTACCTCCTTTCTCTTCTTTCGGAGTTCCTATTTCATTCAGTTCATACATTGTCTCCTCACTCATAAACATGCTTTCAAAATATTCCTTCCATCTCTTTAAACTCAAAACTTCGTCATTCAGAATATAGCCATTCTCATCTCTTATAGCATTCATTATAGGCTGTTTTGAACGTCCCCTGGCAGTTCTTACGAGTTTCCAGAACATTTTAATATTTGCCTGGAAGTTATCCGATATTCTTCTATCATTCTTATCCGTTCTTTCTTGCTTTTTCCTTTCTACTACTTCTTTTACTCTTTTATTTAGATGTCTAAAGACTGCCTTTTTTCTTTCAAAATCATCATTCGTACCGCTAGAATTACCAGCCTTAGTTACTAGTAAATCTAGCCATGCTCTCTTCTTTGCTTCAACTTCCGTACGTACGTATCTCATCATCCCACCACAAAGTATTTCAATGTTTATGTTTGTTTTTGTTGTGTTTGTTAAAAATGTATGCTTTTTCGAAGATTTTCAGTGAAAATGGGAGGATAATAGTGTTCATTGTGATTAATATAAATGTGTTGAAGTGCTAATCGGCAAAGAAAAGGTAAAAATTTTTAAAAATGAAATTTAATATTAAATAAACATTTCTTCATACTTTAAATATAGGTACAGGACTCTTTAGTATTAAAGTTTAATTAAGTTAGGCGTATTTAAAGGTTTAATAACTCAATATTAATATTACCATACGAATTAAAAATATCAATTTGAACAGCAGCATAAAGTATGAGACCTAGGTTTAATTTTAGAGGAAATAAGTGTTACAATCTTTTTTTAACGTGAAGCCCAAATTTTAATTAAATAAATCAAAAGAATACAGAAGAATGTATTGAGGTTTTTAAAGAATAGTACTCCCTTTAGTTATTTCCAGTTAGGATTCTCTGTCTACTTTTCAGTATATAACATTTTAATGGCGCCATCTACTTAATTCTATAGGTAAAGTCATTTTATCGAACGAAAATTGGTTGATTCTCACGATGGTACCTAAAGATTACGCTAGATGGCACAAATACGCTATCGGCTAATTTATAGTGATATATGAGTTTAAAAATATCATTTTGTACGGTTTATTATAAATTGAAAATGAATAATTATAATTATAATAAATAGTCGTTATTTTATGGTAAAAAATTAGCAAAGCTTTATCTTCTCATTATAACTATCTAATTCCTGTCGTAATCTGTTCTTTTATGCATATAACTTAAAAAAAAATATAATTTCGAGGTTTCACATCTGCCAGGCGTCCCTTTTTTAACTTTGTACATAGTTTGTTTGTACTTTGTTCATGTATTGTAAATATCTCGAGCAAACCCAAACGGCTCTTTTCAAAACCACCGAAGGGGTGCAATTGCATATTATGTCATACAGTCTATCTAGCGGTAGTATGCTTTCTGTGTGCTTTGTTAAACACGTCCTTGCCAGCACTGAATATGAAACTAAAGAGTGGAGACAGCTCAAGATTGGTGTATTTTTATTAAACTGCTAAAAACAACAAAACCATATCTAGGGCTTGCCCTAGTTTGGAGCCCTAGCTTCGCCACTGGGTCTTAGTAGTTATGGCAGAACTAGCAAATTACATCAAATATATAATCTCCAAGTCAGATTTTTAAAAACCATCGTACCTACGAATATAAAAAACAAATATAAAAATAATTACCACCAACTTTTTTATCACTGCAACACCATACCTATATACGACAAAGTGAAATATATACTGCTCTGCGATCATTTCTTTACTGACAGTTTTAAAACATTTGCCTATCGCAGCAGTAAAACAAGAAGTCCCTCTAATGCAATTCTTAATTTACCTAGCTATAAAAATGTATACGGAAAAGCAAATTTATACGGAATTTATAAAAATTTATACGGAAAAGCAAAATTAGATATTGTAACATTTACAATATCTAATACCAAATCTGATAAACGAGTTACCTACAACAGTTAAAGGCCAAATTACTAAAGTAAATATCAAAAAACTTAAAAAGCACTACTTATCTTTAGCATTACTAGCGTAAAATAAAAAAAAATTGTAAAAAAAATGTCACCCGTGTGAATCTACAAACCCGAACGAGTTATTCTGGCTTTTGAAGTTAAAGGTGCATAATATATGTTATACGTGTTGATTGGTCAAATAGCGTGCGCAGTAATCAAATCGCGCAATTAATGTGTAAGTAGGTAGTTAAGAATGAATATTACTTAGTTCTGTTCGAGCGACAGATGTCGAATCGCAGTGTGCGGTAAAACCAATGCTGGTTTATGTCACACTGTCACTAAATTTATTTAGATTAAGTTTCACATGTAAATTAATTAATTAAAATAAAAAATAACTTAATGTGTTCTATAGGAAACCCTTAATCGTTTAAACGAAACAAAAGTATAGCTCGCGCAATCTAACTTGGTCGGGCTGAAGTTAGTCGCACGAGGCTGTGCAGATATAGGTTTTAGGAACAAAATGGTAACAAGAGGTGTGGGGGGAGGGTGGGCAATAGCTGAAACTAGACATGTGAACACGCATATTACGCGGTTAGGATTACCACTGATTAAAAATGTTACGTAGAATCGATTACCGTTAATATCGATTACGATTCCATTTTATTTTATATTTTATTGAAGTGAAAACTTTTTGGAATCGTTGTGATTTGAAACTCGATGAAACGTGAAAGCGGCACTAATAAGAAACAAATATATAAATATAACCATAGGATTCATTATATAGTTTCCTTTTATCTCGGTCTCCGCTTTATATATAATAGAATAATTATTTAATAAATAAGATTAACAATATTGAATAAAATTATCTTAATCAATCCATTCATAACAATCCACGATTTTATAACTTACCGATTTATATTAAACTAGCTTGCCAGGCAGACGTTGTTCTGCCCTTTTCGACGACCCTTTTGTCATGTCCTATTAAAATTCCTTAAATTCGCAAAAAAAAATTGTGTTTCACTCATGGACAAAAAACTATCCTATCTCTCAAGTTGGACCAAACTGCACACGGTGTGCAAATTTGATTAAAATCGGTTGAGTAGTTTAGGAGTCCATCGCGGACAAACAACGTGACACGTAATTTATATATATTAAGATTAGTAGTATTTGACGTACCACATTGAACCAATCAATGTTTGTTCCATAAATGACTTGACTTTACTTATTAAATGAAGTAGATTTTACGCTATACAAAGCAATTTTTCTCACAATTTACTAAAGGTTTCACTTCTATCGCGTGTGAAGTGCACACGTGTTTTTTTTATTGTTCATTGGTAAGTAAATTCAACATATCGTTTTAAATACAGTCATTAATTTATTATATTTTTAATTTTAAATTTTTATTACATTCCATTAAAAAAAAGATACAATGGGTGAACTTAATGCCTAAAGGCATTCTCTACCAGGCAGTCAATACACATTATATTTAACAGAATATATTATGATATTATATCGCAAGTAAATATCCATATTATATTTACATATCTTAACACATAATATGTACAAATAAAAAGTTAATACATTCGTATAAATACGACTATTTAACAATATTGTAATTATATTATTTTGGGGCTACTGAAAGAATTTTTTGTCCCTGCTAATATCGTGTATTTATTATATATTCAAAATATTTATCGTAATTATTTATTAGATTTAGATATACTATTGTTTTGTTGAAATACATATAGATATTTTTATTAAAATAATTATTTTAAATAATTATCGATATAAACAAAAAAATGCCTTCGATGTTAGGAGCGAATATGAAGTGGCACATCTCTAGCGACTAGCGTCTTTACATGCGCTAAAGCCAACTTCAGCCCGGCCAAGATCGAGTGCGCGGACAATAATCTAGATCTTCACATATAAAAAGGATGTTTTGTTGAATTCTAAAAGCATATTCCTCCTTACTTGGCATTGCATCATAATTAACATCAATTTAAAACTGTGTTGTTTATTTACCTTTCAGATCTACTTACAATCATCTAAGTAGTTGGCTTACAGATACACGTAACTTGACAAATCCAAGCACTGTAATATTCCTAATTGGCAATAAGTCAGACTTAGATGGTCAGAGAGATGTTACATATGAAGAAGCTAAACAGTTTGCTGATGAAAATGGTCTTATGTTTGTAGAAGCCAGTGCTAAAACGTACGTACTCTTTACTTGCCATGTTTTACATTTAGTTTTATGCCGTTTGGATTCAATCCAGTCACTACTATTTCAAAAATTGTCACGCTCGTAGTAAGCCCATCTTCTAGTCTTAAATCGCAAATAATATTCAGTTTATTGTTTCATTCAGCTACTCGATGACATATGTACCATACATATATGTGGGGGCCTATGGTTGGCAAGTGTGAATTTATTTCGGCGGATTTCGATCTTCTCACCATTTTTGTGCTTACTGTAACCCCTCGAACTACTTGGAGCTTTGTTATTACCTCAAAAGTTAAGATCCGGTTTCTAAGCTTGCTGGTAACGATGAGCCGGTCATCTCTGACTACAATTTTCTGTTTACGTCCCAGTCCTGCGATTCTTGTATACTCTCCGGTACCTCTTGACGGATCGGGATACCTCTTGACACTACTCGTTATACCACAGATTTTAATACACATAATGTTTGCGCCACATGTTTGTCAAATCAATTAATGTAATAGCCCTAGCAACTTGTGGGGCGTTTTTTTATATCATAGGGTGACAAACGAGCTCACAGTCCACCTGATGTTACGTGGTTGCTCTGACCCATAGACACCTACATGAATGCAGATGCGTTGTCACCCGTGAGGACTAAGACGGAATGCCTCATTTCCAGTAAAAAGGGTCTGCGGTTCTCTACACTCACCATACGAAACACAGCAGCATTATTAAGGTACTATTTGACGCTGGTATTCCGTGAGAGCGTGGTCCTACCCCGGTCGAGCCGACCCATTCGTGCTACAACTACACCACTTATAAAATCTTAAGATCGTATATCGAATATATTTCGATCTGGTATTGTCAGTTTATTTGCAGCAACAATTCACACTTAACACAATAAACACGGCAGTCATAATCTAAATTAAAATATAATTTGAAAGAACGCAATGTTACGCAGTAAAGTTACAGCCTATATACGTCCCACTGCTGGGCACAGGCCTCCCCTCATTTCTGAGAGGGTCTTAGGGCAAGGAAGTGTTTGCCGCGCAGCCCCTCTGCGTGTTGACGAACTTCACATGTCTTCGAAATATTTTTATTCTTTTTTTTTTTGTTACGCAGTATTTACATAAAAACAAGTAAATAAGAAAAAAACATTTCACAACTTTAAAAATAGGTACATATTTATTAATGTTTGTGACTTCTACGCACAATAATTACAACTGGACTAATTAAACCTTTTTGTGCTTTCCTCTGAATTGAATTGAAAATTGAAAAAGTTCATGAGTGTATATTTTCATGAAAACAATACTAGCATAAAGTTATTACTATATCTATCTGAATATTTTGTAAATGTATATAATCGTGATAAGCTTGCCAGCTTTTATGCTGCTATTTTTTATAATACTTTTAGACTCCCTATTTTTTAACTTATAATAACTAAATAATTAAATATACGTAAGTTAATATTTTTAATTAATTTTACTCCGATTGACAGAGGTCAAAATGTAGAAGAAGCGTTTCTGGAGACGGCAAAGAAAATATACCAAAGTATCCAAGACGGGCGGCTGGACCTGAACGCGGCGGAGTCCGGCGTGCAGCACAAGCCGGCGTCGCCCGGCCGCCCGCTGGCCGCACCGCCCGCCGCGCGCGACAACTGCGCCTGCTAACTGTCCCCGCGCTACGACCTCGTGAGCACTCTTGCTGTCATTACCTTCTCTAGCTGTCGTCCTTATTTTTCCATTTATAAGCACTCCATTTTTATAATTCTGGGAGACTAAAATATATTGATATTTTTAGGCATATTTTAATTTCGAAGTTTGAACCAGACATGCCACAAGTAGTCGAATACCGGTTGACCGCCATTCCCTAAGGCGAATAGTCGAATAACTCGCCATTATTACTCGACATAAAAAATAATTTAATTGTTATAAAATAATAAAATCACGCTTGTAGTAGTCTTAAACTTAGCAATCATTTATTTGTTACTGTAATGTGTACTCTTGCTGTCACTACCTTCTCTAGCTGTCATCCTTATTTTCCCATTTATAAGCACTCCATTTTTGTAATTCTGGGAGACTAAAATATATTGCTATTTTTTGGCATATTTTAATTTCGAAGTTTGAACCAGACATGCCACAAGTGCCATGACATAGCCGTGGTAGCTCAGATGGTTAGCGCTCGCTGTAAATTTTACAATACGCGAGCAAACCGGGTTCGATCCCCGCCGACACCAATGAAATTGTTAATTGCAAGTTTAAGTGCTGATTTACCACGTGCTCTTCGGTGAAGCGAAACATCGTGATGAAACCTGCATGTCTGAGAAATAAGAAAAAAATTATTTCGAAGGCGTGTGAAGTTCGCCAACACGCATTGGGGCAGCGCGGCGGACTATTCCTTGCCCTAAAACCCTCTTAGAAATGAGAGGAGGCCTGTGCCCAGCAGTGGGACGTATATAGGCTGTAACTTTACTTTTTACTTTATGCCACAAGTAGTCGAATACCGGTTGACCGCCATTCCCTAAGGTGAATAGTCGAATAACTCGCCATTATTACTCGACATAAAAAATAATTTAATTGTTATAAAATAATAAAATCACGCTTGTAGTAGTCTTAAACTTAGCAATCATTTATTTGTTACTGTAATTGTTTTCTTTTCTTATAACTTTAGAAAATCTAAAGACTTTCTAAAGTTATAAGAAAAGAAAACAATGAAGTTAAATAAATAAGTCTCATATATTGATTTGACATTTTTAAATGCTGGCAACCCTTTTCTTGTACGTATTTTACGGGAATACCTCGTTTTGTAAATTAAAAAAATTCCCCGTTTATAAGCTAGCATTTAATGCTGTGGGAAATTTCTCATCCAATCTAGCGGTGGGTAGTAGCGGCTTTTTTGAGTAACGAAAACGAAACGAAACTATCCATCGAATATCAATAGCGGCTTTTGACTATTTTAATAGAGGGTTAAACACTCTATTTTAATAGCGGCTTCAATAGAGTGTTTCACGACGTGTTCAATTGAAAGACGTTACGAATGAAACGATGTCCGTTTCACGAGAAAATTGTTTGTTACCGTTTCGTAGACATGGTGTTAATGGTTAAATTTATTTATTTGTTTAATCATTTCGCACGGTTTGATAAAAATATCACTTGAAAAGATTTAACGGCAAACGATTTATTTAATAATTATGATTATGATAAATTCACCCACAAGTTCAGCATAAAATATTGAATGCTTATCTTTAGACATCTCAAGCCTACATTTTTATGTAATAAATCAAATGAATTACATGTATTGATGTTTTTATAGAATATTGGCCTTCATGGTTGTAGTATCTTTTGTAAAAAAATCCCAAAGTACACTGGCATTACTTCGTGATATTTTAGACAACTATCACATAAAGTTTTAGTATTATTTTTACACTTAGTTACTTACACTAATTACTGTACAATTATTATTTTAATATATTGTTATAATAATAAATTGTTACAATTGTATTTAGTTCTTATTTTACTAAAAATATTATTGTTATTGCACAAAAAGAAAACAAAAGTATTGACAAACGCGCCTAAAAAGTAAAAACAAACCGTGTCATTAAACTTAAACACAAGACTAATTTAAACCGGGCCAAGGCCACTTAAATTATGGAATTTGAACTATTTTTTTGTTAAAAACATGCACACTTACTTTCTCATTTCTAATATCGCATCTATACGAAGGGAATAAAGTCTTAGGTCAAATGCAAAAGCACCCGCGCTCACTCGACATTCGACGACCGGTGGTACTTCCACCACAGCGTAAAGAGTCGATTTCTTTACTCATGTGCTTCTACTTCAACAGCCGAAGCCGTCGCCGATGCAACGCGAAAATAGCCGAATAAACGTTTTGTTATTGTTACTGATCGCTTGTTCGTGATTCGTGAAACGTGAATCTTGTTACTGAGTAAAACATCTACTGTAATAGATAGTTTCGTTGCACTGCAATAACCCGCTATTGTGTGAATAGATAGTTTCAGTAACTAGTTACGTTTTGTAACGACCACTCCTAATGCAATCAATTCCGTTTGTGGTGAGCTTGCTTGACGGGACGTCGGTCAGCGTTTTAATTTTCGTAACGAGAACAAGTGCTTAAGTTAAGTAAGATATTTTTGTAACTTAAAAAGAAAAACTATCATGCCAAATCCCCCATCCTTAGTAAGTTTGCTAAACAATACATAATCACACCAGCAAGCTGTTTATTCACAAAGACTATTTTTTGGGACTGGTTCGTTTTTTTCACACCACAATCTGCCCTTTGGACTTTAAATATTAATTATAAAGCCTTTAACTTTAAGGTGACATGACTGATTTTTGTATTTTTTATGTTAATGATAATAATTTATACTAAATGTGTTTTGTTCTTTAAGAAAAATCAAAGTTTGATTATTATTTAGTCTATATTTTATTTGTTCATTAAAATTTTATTTTGGAAAACTATTCACCATATGCCGAATAATGCTAGCTATTATTCAGTATTTGAAGAATAACGAAAAATATATGTAAAAACGAGTATTCGCGGCATCTCTAGTTTGAACATTAAAAAACGTTTTAATTTGATGTAACAAATTAATATTGTCCGATAGAAAAAATATTTATTTTTTTTCCGTTCCAGAATATTCGTTGACGAAAACTGTAATTTAAAAAAAATGTAAATTAGTAATACTGTCTGTGGTGTTTCATAATTATTTACTTTATCTTATAGCAGTCGGTACGAGTGGTCGGCGCTGGATACAAGGTGGGAGAGTGGGAAGTTTGCATAGATAACAATTTCTGACTACGAAAAACGAACCAATTGCTTCACTACGTACCACTAAACAGACCTAAAACGTTTATTGCGGGAGTGAAGCGTAGCTCGTAATTATTATCCTTCATCATCTTGATTTTGACATGTAGTAAGTAATACTGTAGAACTAATTAACTGTGAACACTGTCTATAGAATTTAATCTTAAATTTAATATTATTTTTTATGTTCTATTACAACAGAATATAATAAATACCAAACTTAAGTATTTATGTAAGAATGGATATATTTCGATTATATTCATGTACATTCCACTTTAAAATTTAATTGAATTTTTAAAGTTTGTATTGAAACATTTGATTGCTTGTTTATTGTTAAGATGATTAAGATAATAAAAATGAATACAAAATTTAGTTGCAATGTAATATATGATATATATATAACCTTCATCATTCTATTTTAGAAGATATACCACATGGTGTTTTTTTACTTAATATTATCTAGAAAATATTTTGTTATTGAGTTCAAAACTGTATAATCTGTAAATTTTTAGTAACTTGATTCATCTGCTTGCATTAACAATATACTAGTGTTAAACTTAACATGTGTTGTTTTAAAATTGGCTCTAGTTTAAACAGTGGGTGTTTAATAAGAAAAATCAGTAAGAATAACATAACAAATCAATTATTGTATTATAAAATTGGTTTGTATTTGAAAGGGAAAGCTTTTTATTTTACGCTTTTTTTTGTATTTTGTTAATTCAAACTTTATGAGTCTTAAAATTGTGTAATATGTATATGTTATGGATCAAGTGATTCAGGGAACTATTTTTAATGCCTGCTCAATATGAATAATGACAAGTCAAACTAGGCTATGTAATTGATATTGATTTAACTCCATTATTTATCACATTGTCAGGTCATATCCTTATCTAACCTAACTTTTTATTAATCTATCTAATAAGTAATAAGTTTTATGAAACCCGATCAATATAGTTATTTCAACAGTTTCTATCATATTGACTACACATATTGGGCATTTTTCAAACTGTCCTATTTATCACTTGGTCCATAACATATATATTCTTCCATAAGACCCTTTATATTGTGAAATATTGCTTCCCTCAACATAAATAATTATATTTTCACAGGCATTATTTCAACGGAATATTAATTTTGCTAGATTAAGAGATTCCTCAATTATTTACTATTATAGTGTAATTTTGTTCTATACCTTAAATTTTTCTTAATCCGCTTCTAGATATTTCCTGCATAAGAAAATAGTCTGGTTTCAAGTGTCTATATTATTCATTTAATTGTGACTTAAAATTAAATACATATAAATAGATACTAGATATTTACATTTTATATATTTTTCCAACATTTGTTTATTTTTAAATAAAATAATAATGAGGTTTTTTAAGTGTTTGAGATCAATTATCATCATTAGTGAAAACTAGTTAAAAAAATAATGTAAATAATCAAAGCCTTAAATGCTCTTTCAAGAATCAACACAATCTGTTGTAGAGACGACACAGGAGTTGTTGTATTTGTCTTCGGTAAAATATTAATTAATTGTACATTGTAATTTACCTACATATAGTTTTATTTATATTCAATTTCGTATTTATTCTGACTGTAATAACTTATTCATCCTGTTTTAAATGTGTTTATTCGTATATTATGTTTTGAAAAGGTATAAATAAAACAATAACTACTTATTACTTTGAATTGAATTTTATTGCTAAAGTTAGCTAAGATTTTTTCATCAGCTGTGACTTCAGCTTTTAACTTCATCTACGTAGAACCTAAACAAGAAAATCTTCGGATCTAAAACTATAATCTTTGTGCAAGTAGTTTTCTTGACGAGAAACCACTAAACTCAGTT